CTTGGGTCTTTGCACTTGCACAGGAGGCAGCAAAACCACTGAGCTAAATCCCCGGCCCATGTTCCGTTGTGTTCTTGTTTTCATTTTTCCTTCTCTCTTTCCCTCTTCTTCACCAGTTTCCTTTGTTATCCAGCCTTGCTTCTAATCTCTTCCTTTTCTTCTACTTCTCTATTTTTTTCCCCTTAGCTTCTTTTAAATTTTCTCCCGAGGGTAAAATCGCCATACTGTGGGCATATTTATTATATACAGTTTTTTGGTTTGTTTTAGATTTTGTTACATAAGCACAAATCTAGTTCATGTGGTTAACGGTGGCAAATTAATATTTACCACAGTTTGTCATTTTCTAGGCTGTGTTGGATGCTATTGTTATTGCTAATTGTACTACTTTAGCCACAGTGACATAGTTATTCTAATCGGTTGTTCTTCCTGGTGTGCCGAGACTGAGATAGCCTGAGGGTTATAAACAATACTGTCAGAGTCAGTGGGGAAGAACCAGGGGGTAGGCCAAATAGGCAGCAACTTCTCATGCTCAATAAATTGAAGAGGTAGGATCTTACAACAGACTCAAAACCCAAAAGCCAGCTATGCCTGGAAGACACCTCTGAGAACAAGTCATTTCTTACGGGTTCTAAATACTAGCAATAAAGCTACTTGCCATGAACAATTACAAGCATCAACCCAGGAATAAAACTAAAAAAAAAAAAACCCTCATATCATTACCCATTCATCAGTTGATGGGCATTTGGGCTGTTTTCATGATTTAGGTCTTACAAACCTGCACACCAGTTTTTGAAAACCAAACTGTCTGTAATTTCTCAGTTTTCTGCAGAGCCCTGGGAGGAGGAAGGGCAGATGAGGAAGCTGTTTTGCTCAAGGGAGCACTATATCTCTCCCCTCACCCTTTTATTGTTCTCTCAGAATTTTGCAAGTTTCAGAATATATTTTTTTTATCTTTAATTATTTTTGTACAGTAGGACATGTGCATATCCATATAAAAGAGACTTTGTAGCAGATGCCTCAGAATATGCTTGTTTGTGACCTGCAACATGTTTTGTAAAATTAAAATGGGACTAATGATAGCTAATGGAACAATTATCTAATAGTCAGTCTGTTTTAGAGGGAGGCTGAACTGTCAGGGAGAATAGAATAGAAGGATTAAATGTCATTTGGAAGCCTTCTTGGTAGAAAGCTTAGTTCAGCTTGAAGGGCAAAATAGTTAGGACGCAGCACTATGAGATCTGTCTTCTAAAAGTGTCACTAATAAATGGTTGCTCAGTGTGAACATTTCTTGCCTAAAGACTCTGGCCTGACGTCCAGCACAGAATTAAAATACATGATATCATTAATTTTTGAAATAACTAAGGATAATTCAATAATCCAAAGAAAATCCATTCTGCCTCTATGTTATTTATTGTCTAGCACTTCAGTCTATTCATTAGTTCTGTTCTTTCTGGGTTTTTTGTTTTGTTTTGTTTTTTCTTTGCCTGGAGTAGCACACAAAAGACCCTATCCTTCTTGACCTCAAAAATCAATGTATATCAGGAGAAGCCACTCTTTATTTGTATTATAATTCCAGTTTTGCCTTGGTACTATAGAAAGAGGGATGTGCTTTCAGACTGTGTAAACTAAGATGGAGAAGGAGATAATCTGAGTGAATCTTTGTGATCTGCAAAGTAGAATCATGATGACTAGGATTCTACAGTGACAAATTCAGATTCGGCCCCATCCAGAGAGATCCCTTGTCAGGGCCTAAAAGGACACTAAAATAAAGCATTGCAGTTGGTCTTCTATCTGCTTGTTTGCTTGCTTGTTTTATTACTTGGTGCTGGAGAGTAAACCCAGAACCTAGCACATGATAAGAAAGCATGGACTACACTCACATCCCCAGGTCTCTTTCTCATTTTGTTCTTTTTTGTAGGGTAGAAGGTGGTCCGGGACACTGAACCCTGATGCTAAGCATCATGCTGAGCTATGCTCCCACCAAGTTTTACATTTGTTCATTCAAGGTGTGCTAACGACCCTTAAAGGACCTAGTCTGTCCGTGATGGTGCAAAGGGGCTGAAGCACCATCTATACTGACATTATGGGAGGGGAGCCAGGCAAGTGAAAAGCAGCACTGCCGAAAGACAGAGGACAGGAGGCTCCTGACCCCAGTGAGAAAAGGACACGTGAACAGGTGTGTTTAGGCTCAGTGTGAAGAGTAAGACTTCTCCAGTAACTTCTATGTGCTCAGGACTGTGTTAGGAGCTGATGGATCCCAATGGAAAAACAGACATGGGCCAGCCTTCACATAGCTCTGCACATGGTAAGGAAGACAAATATGCCACAAGGAACAAATAGAACCCGGCACAGACAGCAGCAGAGAATGGGGCTCAGTGAGCACCAGTAGCAGAGGGCAGCTCCCATCTCTGGTCATTGTCAAGGAAGACTTCCTAAATCCCATCTGGACCAAAAGAAGAAAAGGGAGCCCTACTGAAAGGGGAGGCTCAGAGCGACTAGTTGCCTAAAAAACAGGACTAATACTTTTAAGATCCAGAATTGGAATCAAATTGCCCTGACTCTGAAAATCATAATTTACTTATTCAGTGGCTCCCCGGCAAGTTCTGGGAGGCAGAGGACAGTTTTTGTTTGTTGCAGTACTGGGGATTGAACCCAGGGTCTTCACACTGAGTTGCATCCCCAGCCCTTTTTATTTTTAATTTTAAGACAGGGTTTCACTAAATTGCCCAGGCTAATCTCAAATTTATGATCCTCCTGCCTCAGCCTCTGAGAACGCTGGGACTACAGGTGTGTGTGCCTGGCTCAAAGGCTGTATTTTTATCACTACATCTTTTTTTCTTTCAGTACGGGGATCGAACTCAGGACCTTGTGCTTGCTAGGCAGGTGTGGTGACGCTGAGCTAAATCCCTGGCCCATATCACTGTCTTAAATCTAATACATAGTAGGTACTTAATGGATTATTATTGAATCAATGCATTTGAAATATTTAGCTTTTTGTAAGTGAAAAAATAGAACATTGTAGATACTATACCAATAATGTTCCAGAAGGAGGAAGAAGCTTGCTTTCAAATCTCTGAAAAACATGAGAAAGTTTAAATTAGAAAAAAAACAAATGAATGAAGATATTGGTGGATGAGAATTAGAGTTAAATATTCACATCTTTAGTTACATTAGGAGGGAATATATTGTTTTATTTTTTTGCATATAGGA